CTCCACCCCGCAGGGTCGTCCGGGAGGCTCAGCGCCGCCACCTTGGACTCGCGCTTCATCCGTCAGGCGCGCGCGTTTCATATTTCACTGGCGCGTGCAATCTCGGCCGATCGCGACGTCGATTCGTCGCAGTGGATTTACGGCGACAAAGGAAAATTGCGGGTGTCGATTGCGAAGCGATCGAATCCTGTCAGACGTTCTGTCGCGTATCCAACGGTACGAGGGATTGATAAGTCGATACGCGCCACGAGTCGGCGATCAGATCAGACGAGATCGCGAGAGATTCTAAGCGGTTCATGTATACTAACGTTGGAACGCGGGGAACGAATAAATATGACACACCGGCATTCGATCGGGCCACAAATGTACGCTCCCGCCTCGATTATTCATCGGTCGCGGAGGGTAGGAAATAATTATAAGATCCGAAGATATCCCCGTTACGTTTGCGGCACGGCCGTTAATATTAAAACCGGCAGAAGATCCAACTAAGAATCGTACAACCGCGAATATAATGCAGCGGTATTCCCGCGGGACCGCTTCGTCCCCCCGATAGTGTTCTCTGCATCTCGTCGATTTATCTCGCGGGCGTTTGTCGATAGGGCGCGAGCGGTCGAAATATTCATGACGTACGGTGCATACGCCGCGGAGAGATGTACGTGTGTGCACGCGGGATCGCAGACGGATGAGGCGAGAGACACTCGGGGGAGGATAGCCCGCGAGGGCGGCGGCGGCGGCGAGGATATTGGTCTCGAAACGCGTATCCTCCAAGGGCGGAGCGCGTCCTCATAGGGAGGGGGGGGAGAAGGGGGGTGGGGGGTGCCGAGGTGCGCTTTCTCTCGTGCAGACATTTCTCTCGTGCGTTCCGGGATTTCGAGGATCGATCCTCGCGCTTCCTCGGGCCACCCTCCATTCGGAACGGACGTTCTCTTCCACTCGTGGACCGGACCGGACCGGCGGAGGAGGAGGACCCTCCACGCCGAACCCCTTCAAGTAGCGATCGAACGTTCCGAGGCATTCGATTCTGAGTATCATGCGCTCTGCTACTTCTCCGGCGTGCCCTCGTTTCAGTAACTTCGGATGTGAGTAACGTGAGATGCGACGGATCTCGCGGTAACCAGGATAGTTAGGAGCCTTGGTGACATTTAAAAAGAGACGTGACAGAGTTACATTTTATGCCGGTTTCTCGTACTTTCATGTAACGCGGCGAACAGGTCGTAGCTCTTAAATATCGGCTACGAAACACCTCACGTTATTCAAGATATTGCACTTTCGGAATGTTATTCATCCAGAAAGTGCGACGATCGTACGGGGGGGGGGGGGGGCGGGTCACGGAGATTTCTTCTTTACTGTGTATGAGAGGTTGATTTTTGTTTGATTTTTATGACAACAAGCAAGTTCGCTGTGAAAATAAAGACTTATCGTGGAAAACTCAAGATTTTGCGCTGTTACTTGAAACAACTGGCTGTTGTGTTGTGATGGTAGTTGCTTGCACTTGTAATCGATCTACTTGTTAGTTTGTTCTACTGTGGTTGGATCTTGAATTTTTATACATGTATTCGAAATACGTTGCAATTACACCGTACACTAGTTTAAATTTGTCTCGAGAGAGTAAGTAATTGCAATACTATTTAAGTCATATTAGGCTTTTTTCGCTCTCTCGACGTAACTTCTCGACGTTATTATAGCACGCTATTAAATATCAATTAGGTGATATCATGACGCGCCATCTATTATTCAGACAATCAATGGCTAGTAAACCGCGACAATAGGGACAGAACTTTATCAACTAAATATAGCCTTTCTAATCAATTTACAATTTGCAAAGATAAAACGTAATGGAACGATCAATATACGCGATTAAGCGCCGTGATGATGGAGCGTCTGAGATGCTTCCTCATGTCGGAGATTCGATCATTTGTAACAACAAGAAGTAATTTAATTCGATTGCGGAGTAGTTGGAGCGTTTATATAAATTTCGTGCTCGAGGACGGCACTCCTCCCCCTTTCTCGCCCTCCTTTCTCCTTCATTGCTATTCATACACCTACCGTCTGGTTGCTCGATATCTTGGGGAAAGAAGGACGGAGGATGGAAGGGCCGGCCCGTTTAAAGTCGTGCTTCCAATATCAATTCAAGATCCAGATCTACATATCGGGCGAATCGTTTGGTATTACGGGTTCGAACGTCTTATTTATGTTCAAACTTGCATGAGACAGTAACCTCGATAGTGTTGCGTGGATTTCAAAGGTACTTAGAAATATTGTCAAAGGTGAAGGCACTTTTTTTCACATGTGATAAATATATAAAAATGTACTGGGACTTTGGACAACTTTTAAACCGAACCAAATGTGCGCGATCAAATATTTGTGACTCATAAAAGTATATAAAATACACAAATATTGCTTAATGAATAATTGAGATATAATTTGATTATTTAAGTATTTCTGCATATTTTGAAATCGGTTCGTATGTGGGAACGTGGTAAAATCTTTGACAGTAAATAATTAAACTTTATACAAGAGGTGAACTGTGTGCAATTTCAGATTTTAGAAATTCCATTTGCAAAAGTGTCGAACAGTATTATTGAACATTTTTTCTTCGTAAAATATTGTATCGTCACGTTGTTATTTCTGACTTATTTGGCCACAGTTTACTTAAAGCAATTTTTCAGGCATTTTTGAGCGTTTAACGTGAGCGAGTGACCTCGATACTAATCTGAATACTAAATTGTATTAATTAGTAGTTGTTAACTAAGTTGTCATTGACGTAGCGTACAACATTGAAAATTAATTTGAAATTGTAGCAAAAGGATGAAGAAATTCTTTGTTTCGCAAAGTAAAGTAGGTTGTTGCGTCGAGAGCTAAATTGTTTCTACATTATGTCCGTAATGTCGGATGTTAATTACGTTATAACATTGTTACCGCAATGATTAATTGTTCGTTTATGTTTCCGTGCTGAAAACTGCTCTCGTCCAGTCACGCATTCCATAACTGTTAATGCTATCGTAGAGTGTGTATGTCGCGTTTATCGCTCGCACTATGCATCGTTGGCGCGATTCATTCGTCAAACGCAACATAAGAGACACATTTGTCACACATGCGTGTGATGCGTGTAAAGATACTTACGTTTCGCGCGTGCGTTGCACGACTGAGTTTTATGTTGCCTTAAATTGCAATTGCGAGAAACACGGGCAGAAGCATTATCGATCCTGGACGTACAGTTGTCATCGATAACCGAGTGTGAATATGAATTAAAATTAAATAAAAAAAAATTAACTAAATAAATGACAAAGTTCTAAGCTATTCGACGGTGGAAATTTCATCAATTTTTACAACAGATTTGCGTGCTGACTTTTGTCAGCATTGTAAATGACACCGTTAGATATTATCAATATATACTTTTGAGGAAATAATTAACAGAGCTTTGAAACTGATTTACAGTAAAATATATTGGAACATAATTTCGGGACATAATCTCGAAATTATATTTCTACTGGGAGAAATCTTGCGTTTGAAATCGCCATGGCCATACATCTCTAACGTATCGGTTATTATCTTCCTCTCAAAGTTAGGATTCATTGTTATCTTACTTTTAATGCCTGCATCTCCCTCTTTAGTTAATTACGAAGAAAGCTTATCCGAGGGTGAGGATAACGTTCTCCGACGAGCCTTGAACACCGCGGTATCGCTTAAAAGTAATTGCCCCGTCGAGCAGCATTCTACCTCGCTCGCAACTTTGATGCCAGCGAAAAAATGAGAGAGTAACAGGAAGTGGCTTCAGTTTAGTGTACGTCAGTTCTCAGCTGGAAGTCCGCTTTAAGCTCGAGACTGATGCTACAATGAGCCTTCTCGTTTTATGCACTTTGTTGATAACAAATTTCGCACTTTGTTGCAAGCATTTGAGTGTCGATTATGCATGTAAACGCAATTATCGTCCTAATTATTAAGAAATTTATTTATTTATTTTGAAATTATCTCTCATATCTTATTCGTGATATTTTTATGTATTCGTGCATGGTATATTTTAGCATTCTTTCTTCACGAGATACAGAGGTTATATGACCTTTTCATTGAATAAATCTTTCCAATTTAATACAATAAAAAGAATTTTTTTCGAGTAATGGAATATTGGCGATACGTCAATATATAATATTGTTGTTTGTGACATTTTATTTTTAGTATATTTACGTGAAAAATGTGAGATATTGGAGTGTATCTAAATTAAATAAAATTTTCTAGAGTAGAAAATGGGGAAATTTAATTCGATCGTAAGATGCAGGTGTTCGGTTCTTCCTAAATCAAATCTCCACATTGTAAGCTTACGCGGCGATGATTGGCGACCTATCTCTGTAGTCCAGGATCGATGCAAACGCTTCAATGCACACATCGACAGAAAGAAATCAAATGAGAATTCTGTACAAGATACACACAGACAGACACGCAAGGATAAACCCCGTAAACTCAATGTAGACATGATAGAAAAAACTTTTCATATATATCCAAAATTACTTCACAACATCGACAATCGCCTTTCACAAGGTGCTAATATAATTGTACTTGTTCATTCATGTCACAACATTATGTTCGAATCCCAATTCATGGTAAAACTTATGAAATGAAATTCCTCGTACACGTAGTTACGGCATCACGTGATGCACATTTAAGCACATCGCGTAATAAAATAGAATTTGACAAACTTTCCATTAAATTTGCAAAAAGTGTTTATACCAATAACTAAACTACAAGTAAATTTGCATTTGCGATTACATAGTTTGTATACGATTAGCAGAATGTACTTGAGCACTCAATAATAAATTAAATCTTTACTTTTTACAATTAAATAATGATATTACGATATATTGCTCGTTGGCAGGATACACAAATTTAATATTTCATAAGTAATTACATGTACGATGGCAGTATATACGAATATATGGATAGAGAAAGAGAGAGAGAGAGATAGAGCGAGTACTTTACGAATCACGTATTATAGTTGGACTCACCAACGCAGGGATTGTGGTTCACCGTCGAGAAGATCTTGTCACATCGCCGCTTGATATGATTATTCGGACATATGCAGCCGAACATTGGCGATAGTCGCAGTTGCGTCCACGAATCATGACAAGCGTCCCTAAAACAGTAATAGAAGATGTGGTTATGCACTGTATAAAAATTACTAATAATGCGAAAAAATGTATTGCATATTTTAGAGAATGTACGAAAGAAATAATTAAAAAAATATAAAAATAAATATCACAGGTTACTAAACGAAATAATATAATAAGAAAGTTGGGTCGCATCGCTAGCTCCATGAAGATTGTACGCTATGTATAACTGCAAAATTTGGAATCACGTTAATAACGGGTCACCGTGGTGCATTGTAATCGTGACCCACCGCTTTATAAATATTATTAATTAATCGCGATGAATTCCCGTTTCGCCTTGGGCCGCGTAAATCCCTCGCGCGAAGGATTAATGACTGGCCATCAAATATCGGCGTTTTGCCAAGTACATCGACCTACATCTGGTCCCCAATAGCCGTTAATAAATATTAAAATACGCAAACTCCGATATTCACCGGGCTACTGTACCATCGATATTTCGCTGTATTTTTGCACATGTCTGTGTTCCAATAATCCGCGATAATTGCAAGACATTATCGATGCGATACATATCGGAATTTCGAAACGCGCATAATTAGCGACTGCTATCTTCGATGTGTATAATAAAACAGCGTGTAGATGGCGGGTCTTTTATAAATCCAGCGCAATTTTCATTTACCATATGACAGAATAA